TCGAGTCGGGCTGGAATTAAGAAAAATGGACACGACAATTGACGGTGGCGTTTCAGGGTCGAGTTTCACGACTTCCGGTGACAGTTAAATTTCGCAACGGCTTGCCCGGCGGGAGAAACATTTTCCGACCGTGAAACGGTCGTGAGACGTAACTGGTTACGAGATTACACGTACGACGAGCGCGTGCGTTGAACCGGCGAGATAGCCACCTCTTCCTACCTGTTTCGATGCGAATGTTGACCTTAAACTTCCGATGCGCGAAGGTCACGCCGATGTGAGGATCATCGAACCCCTGATTCCAGTGTACGCGAACGAGCTAGAGTCGTTTGTCTAAACGAAGAAAATAATTCCTTGAAAAGTATCCGGGATTTGCGTCGAAAATCGAAGAAATCAGGATTTTTCGAATCATCTTCAAGCATTTTCGTTGACAGAGATATCATTGGAAAAAAATTTTATTCGAAGCTCTGAACTACTTCTGAGAATAGAAAATCATTTTATCAGTGAACTCAGAAGTCAAGGACACGTAGATTACGTGTACCAACGTAAATCATAATCGACACTTGGACGTTATCGCATAGATATATATTCTCGTATATAGATCACACGAGGAAATCGAGTAATTGCACGAACAAATTGACCATTGTGGTAATCGAGTTGCTCTACGGCTCGATCTGAATATTTAAGGTGCTGGATCGAGAGCTCTGTGGACATCAGTGCCGGCCATATTGGAAGCGTCGTTCGTCTCGTTCAATGCAGGATCACCCAGAAACTTACGCAACAATTTACCACTCGTTCCTCATTGAAGACAGGAATAATTAAAGGAATCGGTGGTTCAGTTTGTCGACCAGTTACTGGAAGTTTGTAATCGATACACGTAGAGTATCTACTAAGGGGAATTAAAGAGATTCATGCGTTTAACCTAGCATAACTATAAAAACACCGTAAAATTTACAATCCTTATTTATTGTGATTACAATAAAAATGAACAACTTTCTCTCGTAGGGAATATACTCTTCCCTTTTCTAAAGACTCAGTATTCCTCAACGGGATTTCAGACACGGCATACTTGGTTCGTTTTTATTTTAACAACAATAAATATTACAAATTTTAGGGTGGTTTCGTAGCTATGCCACGTGTATATAGTTTCCTACGAAAAACCAATCAAAGCCGCGAGATAAAGAGAGAGGTGACTTTCACTTTGTTTCTCCAGGGTCGTTGTGTCGTCTCAGCGTGGTTTCTCACGCTTCCCCCTTCGTGTATCGATAACTCCGATCTGAACCACGAGCGCATTTGAAAAGCCTCGATGAAAGGAGAGATTTTCTCTTTCGAGGGACTGCTAACTTCGACCGTTTCCTTGAAAGTCCCACTACGCTCCCTTCCCCCAGTCTGGTTATTTCGATCGTGAAGTTTCGAAACGAATCCACGTCACGGTACACGGAGCCGCAATGAAACACCTTAATTAATCGTAACCCGCAGATCGAAATCGATTATCCTGTCCCCTAAACGCCTGTTTTTCCGCTCCCGGTTTCTTTCCTGGCCGCGCCGCTGTCCAGCGATTAATTAACGGGGACGATGAATCGGTGTCGGATCGTGGAAAAAATCGGGGCTTGATCGAGGTTCGAGAAAAGAAGTCAATCTGCAGTATTGGAAAACCTGTGGTCGCCGATGGCGGCCATATTGAACGTCATCGACGATGTTTAATCTCTTAACCTAGGCAGTACTACCTAGAGAATTGATTCGACACTTTTTCAGGATAAGAAATTTGCAAATTTAAATAGAAATGAAGAGAATGTCCATGGTATAACGGGCATCTGTCATTCGTGCACTGAATATCGGCCTCCGATCAGTTCTACCTGTCTCCGTCTGACGTCTCACCTATACCGCGCAAGATTTCATCTGTCAAACGTGATTAAGTTGCCACGTGGCGATGACGTTCGAGATCCACGTCGAACACAATGTGTACATATGGATCTCGACAGTGAATTTTACCGACTCGACCGATTTATCGATCGATCCCAGGGCCCTGGGCGAACAAGCCCAACTTAATACCGTAACTGCACGCGCCTCTGTACGGTAGATCAGTCGCGATAAGGGCTCTTTCCAACGGGAGGCGAACTAGACAAATAGATTTGGCTCCGGGCACGGCTTCGTTCGCCAAGGTCGTGCACACGCATGTGACGTCAGGGATCGTTGACTTCTGAGGGGGGCTCGACCTCGGCTTCTCTTCGTCTTCCTCTTCCCCCTCCTCGCGGCTTGCTTATCTCTGTCTTCTTGTTCCTTGCCTCCCCCCTTCCCCTCAAATGTACACAGCGAAGTTGAGGAACGGAATCACTCGAGCAACTTTGGGACCTCGAGCTGAGTTGCTGTCTTCGAATATTATTCAGTGGACCTGCGTAACAACTCATACTTATTCTCCATCTTTTTTTTTTTCAATTTTTTTCTGTTCCAAAACAGTTCACGACTCGATTTTAAGCTATCCAATAAAAGAATGAAGCCTGATCCAAGGTAGCAGCATTTTTTTTTTTGCGTGTATCACCTCCGTTTCCAATGTGTTTCAGTCTTTTTTCAGACAACGGATACCAATTCTCAATCTTCTTTTTTTTTTTTTTTTGAAATTTTTCTCTGATCCCAGACACTTCACGATTCGTCCTTGTGCTACCCAATAAAAAGATGAAGGCATTTTTTTATGTTCTGTATTACGTCCATTTTATTCTGGTCCAGAATAAAACAGAAAACTCAATAAGCCTAATGAAAACGGTGCCTTTTATTGTATTTCACGGAGCTCTTATAGGCTATAAATGCATAAAATCCGCAGTCTAATAATAACAAACTCGACCGGAAGTTCTCCTCCTAAAAGGAGTTTATCACTCCATTAAACAATTTTATACACCGAACCAGAGGATCCGTCGATAACTGACGATAATTAATCGACGGTGCAATCTCCCAGTGTTCGCTCCCCTGCGCGTCTTTCCGTGGCAGTTTGAGTAATGGACACGCGAAGCGGATTATAGTTAGCCAGCAGGCAGACATATTATATCTGCATCGGAACAAGCATGTCGCGGGAGCAGCACCGCAAAGGTTAAATCCTTTTTCTGCGCGTTTTTCAAGGTAATTACGTAAGAGAGACATAAGTCCGCGTCGACCCTGACTGTCTCTGTCTATCTGTTCCCCTGTCTGTCTCTAACACGTGCTCTCTCTCTCGGTACTTGTAGTTCTTCGCTGCTCGTCTGCTCGACTACAAGGCCGCCGTGGATCAATTTAGTCGGCAGGAACCTTCGGAACGTACATCTCGAAAAGCACTTCTTTCGGCTCTTCGCTTCCCGAACCACCTCTCTCTATCTACCCTTCCCTTTTTTTTTCGTTCGTCTGGGGCCACGAGACGAAACCGAAGCGAACAAATATATCCGAGGACAGGCGGAAGATCGTTCTCGATCGTGCATACCGTCGCCGTGCGGAACTCGTGATGCTTACGCGTAGGCGAGGACGAATCGTTCGTTACACCGAGAGCGAATTACGTAACGTCTTCGATGGAGAGTCTCGATAATGCTGGTCCAGGCAAACCTTTTTTGTAAAGGGCCAAATAGTAAATATTTTAACCACTAACAAGGGAAGGCACGGAAGTGTCCCCCTACGATTTTCATGGAATTTCGCGTGTCTGTTAAGCAGTCAAAAATAAGGGATACGTATTTCTTTTTTATCGGCCGAGACGCGACTTTAAGGGGTGAAACCAACCATCGAAGTTTCGACCCGAAAGTACTATCTCGAAAACCAGAGGAGATGAAATCTTCTAATGGACGAGGTTTGCAGTTTTTTTTATGTAGAATAATATGGTGCTAAGTAAATTGTCCAAAATATCATTTGTTTATGACAAAAAAATGTCAGATCGAAACTTCGAGTGGTGGTTTCACCCCTTAAAGTTGCGTCTTAGGCGATAAAAAAAAATATGTATCCCTTACTTTTGACTGTTTAACAGACATACGAAGTTTCATCGAAATCGGAGGGGGACATTTCCATGCCTTCCCTTGTAAGAGCGTTATAGCTAAGCACTAGTTATAGCGCGTACTTTGAAATTTTTAAAAATTTGATATTGTAAATTCTTAGCTCACGGACAGTATAAAAAGATGCGGCGGGCCCTAGTTTATCGACCCCTGTCCTGGACAATAGGAATAGTTCGATCTGATTGAGTATTTTCATCCCCTATGAGGGGCAGAATTCTCGTTCCTGAATTATGAAGGATTCAGAGAGTTCTGGAACCATTCATCGAAGTCTTCAATATTTATGTTCTGTAATGAGGCCAAAGAGGTATAGAGTGCTTCCATTGGTGTGTAGTGATTTGATGTCGAATTTTCATCCCATATACTGGGTATAATTTTCTGCCTGAATTGTGGAGGTTGCAGAGAATGTTGGAACCATTGGTCCGCATTTTCTTCAGTATTAAGTCTCTAATGGTAGGCCAAAAGAGGATACTTCCATTGCTTTGGAGTGATTCGATCTCGAATTTTCATTCCACCTACTGGTTGAAGTTTCTCTAGAAGACAAAGGTTACAGAAAGTTCCGTAGCTAATTGCTCCACTAAGTTTCCATTTGATGAATTCATTCTGTCTATGCTAATGATACACAGAATTACCTGAAAATAACCTAGGACCTTTACTATAATAACTGTACGTAAATACTAACCTTGATTAAGTTAAATAAATTTTGTAATGTAATTCCTTTGGGAAATCTCCAAAAGGGACTAAAAGAGTGTTCGACTAATTAATCTTCCATAAACTAATTACCTGAATTAATTGATACTGTACACCTAATATCGTAATATTTAATAATTTTAGTACGCTAAAATTTCTCCAAAATTCGTGTAAAGTAACTGTGAACTTCGTTGCCAATTTGATACCATAATAATAATGATAATAATAGTTCTTAGCGTGTAGATCAATTAAGCTCTAGGCTTTCACGGGATATATTCTGACGTGGTGTTGCATTTGAAGGTCTTGTGTGCACAGGTGAAGGTGGTTAAGTTCAGCTACATGTGGACGATAAATAACTTCAGCTTCTGCCGGGAGGAAATGGGAGAAGTGCTGAAGTCGTCCACCTTCTCAGCAGGGGCCAACGATAAATTGAAATGGTAAGGATCCTGAATGATAGTAAATCGTTAAAGATAGAAGGCACACCACGTGTTGTCACGAATCTGTATACGAATTTTGGCACTGTATTCGACTCCCATCGGTGGAGTAATAGAATTATGGGAAAGACAAGGGAAAAGAAAAAAGAAATTGTTTAAGATTCTTTGCATTGCATACCACATTATCACGTCAGACTAGTCTCAACTAGACGTACATATACTTACCTTTTTGTTAAGTTCACACAGGTGTGAACCTTGAACTTTCATTGTTTTTTTTTTGTTATTTCCCTTTACCATATATCTTACTAATTAAATATCCCTCGAGGCTGCTGTAGCTTCAGTGATCGCATAGGCGAATAGAGCTTCCTGTTTCATTCCGGATACTAATCTGATTTACTCTACGATACCCCGTTTCATTTAAACTCGTATTCCACCTCTGAATTAGAATTGCAGGAAATTAATTGTAATATCACGTTTCTAAACATCTCTTTTTTTTTTTTTATTAATAATTTTACCCAACGAATATACCAAGAGAAGATTTATTCGGTGTGTGTCGAGGGTTCTGTCGGGATTCCGAATAAAATAACAGCCTGATTTAAATCGTTGCACCGAATATTCCTCGAAAAGCGTAAAATCCACAGGCTGTCTGTCAAGTATATCAGATATTCATCGTTGACGAGCGCACAATACCAGGATTACAATATTTACGATGTTCGTGTCAGGAAACGAGTAAAATTCACTTGTCGAATACTGGAACGATGAATTTCAATATTCCATAATTAGATCACGTCTGACTCGATCTTCACACACGCACTGAATGAAAATCTGCGGTGAACGGTGCCGAAGTTGTTCAGTCGTCGGTACACTTTTGCTCCGTTCACGCGCACACCAACGATATCGAATAAAAACACGAATAGAAAGATGGCGGGAGTGAGTGTACAGGACGGTTATATGCAAATCTTGGAAATCGGGCGCCCGGCATGAATTTTACATGAACGGTAATTGATTTTAGGTGCCTAAGAGTGAATCCTAAGGGTCTGGACGAGGAGAGCAAAGACTACCTGTCTCTGTATCTCCTTCTCGTCTCGTGCAACAAATCCGAAGTCAGAGCAAAGTTCAAATTTTCTATCCTTAATGCCAAAAGAGAAGAAACCAAAGCAATGGGTAAGTCCGATCAGAATCTCACGATCAAAAAAAAAAGAAATAAATAAAAAAAAAAAAAAGAACGTCGTCGAGTCTCGATCGACGGATGCAATGCAGGGTATTTTAAAAGATTTTCCCACGCCACGTACATATTGCGCTTCGGTTCGAGGGAATGATATACAATAAATCCTCGATGAGTGTTCCAAGGCTCCATTGAGTGTTCAGACGTCAAGCCTACCACTGGGAATTTGACTGATTCCATGGGAACCCTTAATGGTGGGGATAACGAATGGACACTCAGTGTAGAGGAACCTTCGGACACTCATCGATGATTCACTGTATATCGCCTTGCATACCGTTCTTCCGAAGAGATTCCATTTATAGAACTTCCATCTAGTGTCATGCGAACGTTCGCTATTTTTTTTCTGTATTTAAAAATATTTCTTTATTTTTAAATATTAAACAATCTCTGAGACAGTTCGAACGGTTCAGTCGTTGTTGCGATAACACACCCTCAGAACGTGTTCCGAATCCGTTTTTTTAACGATAAGAATTCTATAAACGTGTGTATTGACGAAGAAAATTGTTATGCTTTCAGAGAGCCAACGTGCTTACAGGTTCGTCCAAGGTAAAGATTGGGGCTTCAAGAAGTTCATTAGGAGAGACTTTCTGTTGGACGAGGCCAACGGACTGTTGCCCGACGATAAACTCACGATATTCTGTGAGGTATATACCTTTGTATGTTAATTGTTTAATACTCGTCCTTGCTCCGTACTGCTTGAACCCGATTCACGACGGGGCCCCGAACACCGTTTTCGTTCTTCCAGGTCAGCGTGGTGGCGGACAGCGTGAACATTTCCGGGCAGAGCAACACTATACAATTTAAGGTGCCGGAGTGCCGGCTGCCCGACGACCTCGGGCTACTATTTGAAAACCAAAAATTCAGCGACGTCACGCTCACGGTCTGCGGGAGGGAGTTTCAGGCGCACAAAGCCATACTCGCAGGTAAGCGCTGCTATTCATGATGAAAAAACATGGCGTGATTCCTATTGGACACCAAATATATCAAAGTTTATCGATGGACCCTCGTAGAGTAAATTAAATGAATTGGATTATCCATTAAACTCATGGATGACCGCCATTTTGGTGTACAATAAGTCTATTGGCGTGAACTAGTAGCCCAAGATCTCTAAAGATTCCTCTATAGTACCTTTCAATTACCTCCAATATGCTACCAGGAATTAACGCCATATTGTTTCATGTGTGTAATTTTATTATAGATTTACTATATTCCTCTGATGTGTCGATTGTAGCACGAAGTCCGGTTTTCTCGGCGATGTTCGAGCACGAGATGGAGGAAAGGAAACAGAACCGTGTCGACATCACCGACGTAGACCACGAGGTGCTGCGTGAAATGCTCCGGTTCATATACACGGGCAAGGCGGCGAATCTGGAGAAGATGGCGGACGATCTCTTAGCAGCGGCGGATAAATACGCGTTAGAGAGGCTGAAGGTAATGTGCGAGGAAGCGCTTTGCACGAGTTTAGCCATTGAGAACGCAGCCGACATCCTCATTCTTGCTGATCTTCATAGCGCTGATCAACTAAAGGCGCAAGCCATAGACTTCATTAATACGTAAGTGTTCGTTCGTGGTGAACGGGAAAGAGCAAAAATTAATAATATTTGACGGCGACAGCGGCGGTACAGCGATGTAAACGCTGCGGCTGTTCGATACGTTAATTGTATAGAATGAAACCACGGTCGAACTCGTAACTCTCGACTGGGATTCGAGACAGTTGATTCCTCGAAGAGTTCAAGCACCGTCGAGGTATAGGGAGTAGACTTGTCACGTTACGGGATAGCCCACCTAATCTCTGGTACCGATACCTCGAGAAGCCTGCGATTTTAGTGTCCTCTACGTTATGAAAACGATGGGTAGTGACACTGAAATGGTAATGAGACGTCGACATCACAGAAAAGTTGGGCCACAAAAATTCATTGGACGTTAGGTCTACTCCTGTACCTAGTCGGTGGTTCCAAGATCCAAAGAATAGTGTGCGAAGATAGGTGATTTTGTATTTCAGACACGCGACGGATGTGATGGACACGGCGGGTTTTAAATCTATGGTGAACTCCCATCCGCACCTGATAGCGGAAGCGTTTCGAGCGTTGGCGACCCAACAAATTCCACCGATCGGTCCGCCCAGGAAACGAGTAAAACAGAGCTGAAAACAATCACCGTTGACACCGGGCACGACCTCCACATCGCCCCCGCCTATTCTGCATCCCTCATGAACTTTTTTGTGTACAGTGATACAAGTAGTGTTCTAAATAAATGTTTCCTAGTGCGCCAAATCCTCTGGTCCACTCGCAAAAAGGAGAACTTGGCGGCGAAAATAAACAAAAAGAGGCTGTCTCGCGTTGTTGTGTGGCCGGCACCTGGCTCGTGCACGGTCAGCCCCGAGGATGCGCGGGACACGCGAGAGAGTAGCCGGAGGGAGGAGGAGAGAGACTTTGTTGTAATTCAGTGAGTCGTCGACGTTGAAGAAAACTGTCTATCACAGAACCCCCGAAGTGGAGAGACGAACAACAAGAACAACAACACGAGCGTTTGAGTAACACATACACGCGATGGAGAAACAGAGAAGCCGTAAATTGAGTGTAACCAACGATAATAATACGTTCGTCCCCTTAGACCCTCACCCCCGGGGTTGGACAGCAGCTGGAGGAGAGGACATGATTGTGGTACTCTTTTTTGCATTGTGCGTCGTCAGCGTTTTCGTGCGTGAGAAACACATGTGTTTTTATCATCCGTCGTCAACCTTGAATGGCCACTTAAATGTCAGCGATTTGTCAATGCGCATCGTTTAAGGTCTTGCGTGGAATATTTGCTTTCGTTTCGACCAACCGAGGATAGCTGGAGGCTCGAACCACATCCGTATTCGAAAGATATAAAAGCAGCCAGAGGACCAAGGCGAGATTGAAACTCGCTGAAATTGCTACCACACTTACACACATACATATAGTTACACGTGAATATACACACATACATAAGAACATATACACGGACAATTACACATACCACACAATGAACACAATGCACGAAGGAAGTTGTGATAGACGTCGGCCAGACGATTAAACATTTTGTTCCTTTGTCGAAGAAAAAAAAAAAGAAAAACGGATCACACGATGTCCCACGCATGTTCGTCACGCAACGAACAAAAAGAACGTTAGATACTATTGTTTATTACCGATAGTGATTTTTAGTTTAATGGAAAAAAAAAACAGACGGAAATGAACGTGAAACTCTTCCAGAACGGAGAAAATGAATTCTAGTTAGGGTTTTTTTATGATCTCTTTCTCTCAACATGTACGACTACTACTATGATTACTATTAACGCTACGCAATCTGTGCCCCCCCCCCCCGTATTTTTGTATATTCTTTTGTCTGCAAATACTGGCCCCTGTACCCCCATCCTTAATGCTGGATCCTTAAAATCTGTGAACGCCGTCGGTTACCAGCCCACCGCGAAAACATATTTTTCAGTGGGACCACTGCAAGGACAGGGTGAAAAACGTCGTGAAAAAAATTCATTGAAGAATATTTGGACGGGAACTAACCGTCCGCCGTTTTAACAGATAGTGAGTATCCAGCTTAACGCGGCCTTTTTCAACTCCTCCGCCCCCATTATTACTAGGCACAGTTTGTTTTGTTTTCTCGAGTATTGCATAGTAGCTGAAGTGATAGATTCGAATTATTATTATTATATTATTATTATATTATATTATATTATTATTATTATATTATTGTATTAAATTTAGGGTTGTCCATAATTTATCGAATTTTACGTTGATTATTATTGAAATGTCTATCGTACTTTTGCGCAGGATTGCAATGTGTATTAACTAGAGATGTTAACTAAAAAGAAAGAAACACATGATAAGAGTCGATAACACGTTACTAGAAATGGATCGAAATTGAATGTGGCGAGAGATACAAGAGCAACAGAAAAGGAAAAGAGGGAAGTAAAAAAATAAAAGTGTAAAATAAAAGTTAGTCAATTATACAGCACGAAATATTAATCGTTTTTTATGTAATTAACGAATTGCGAATTCGCGTGGTCAATGATCTGAATTATGGGCAACCAAGAAACGCAAACAAATAATCATCATTTAGTACCGTACTGGCTTCCTGATCCTCCGACCTAGCTTTACCGAACGTTTTAAATACGGAATAATACCATACCATTACTGGGAAGTAATGGTATCGACGATTTAATGCCATACATGTTCTGTGATAAGACCACTGTAATTACCGCAATTGTAATCACTCACACACATACACACACTTTCTAGAATTTCTGACGATCCTGGCAGCCAGTGGAAACAAAAAAGGTTTAATCTTTTAAGAAACGGTCGCTACATCCGGACAGTCCCAAATCTAGCGTCCCTTTCGATTTTAAGATTTTTACTGTACATATCTAACTGTATTTTATAAGAACTGAACAAACCGAAACGGAACCATACTTTTATGAAGGGTACAATAACCGACTATAATTTATTCTATTTTACAGACTGTGCTAAACTCATGTTCCTTGAAACACTAGCAATGCTTTAAGTAAAGTATGTAATATGTAAATTACGACAACAAATTAAAATACGGATTAGAACGTACTGTATCCTCTTTGGTCTCGACGCGCGTTGCACGCATTTCGTTCTTCAGCCAAAACGTAAATGCGATGCGTGTCCCCCCTGTCGAGATATAAAGTAAGATCGAGAGACAAAAAAAAAAAGAAATAATGATCCTATGGGAAACATAGTTAGGGAACGTTTTTCCACCGTTTTTTACATGATGTTGATTTCAAGTTCGTAGATCGTTAGAGCTTAAAACGATATACCTAAAGGTGACAAAAAGAGACGAACGGGGAATTTAAAAGAAAAACTAAAAGTAACGAGAAATTGAAATGTAAGCGATTTAAGGAACAGACTTTGGCCGTGCTCGCTCAGATTTTAAAGTTTGAAACAAGAAAAGTAATAATAATAATAATGAACGAAATCTACGTCCATTCTACCCATTCTATCTTTGGGACTGTGCGGCGAATATCTCATGAAACTTCGTAATGTTGAACGTCTTTTTCCTAAGAAAGAACATAAAAAAAAAAAACGAAACTAATATTAATCCGTACGACAGTTCAACGAAAAAAAAAAAAAAATATTAGATTCAATTCTTTGAACCAATCTGCATGAGCGTATGACTGGATAATTTGATAAACTAAGTACAAGTAAGACAAGTGTTACCTCATCATGAAAATCAGCATGTTCGTGTCGCACTAGCTACTACTGCGCTGCTGTCTGATACACACTTCCGTTGTATATTGCATTTAAACCCGAAAGCTTTTTGTAACGAATAGTTCAGCAGTGGTAGCTTTTCGAAGTACATGACTGCTGTTCATCGAACCCAGCTCATACAAACGTTCATTTTTCCATTTACTTTAAGTCATTGCACCACATCAAATAAATGACATTTTCATTATATAATCATGAGAACTTTTACGTGATTTTTCATTATCCCCATTCGCCGACCGCCCGGTGACTCAAATGTTTTTTCAGTCCACGTATACAATGTGGTCACAAAATGATTAGATTTCAATTCGGATTACATATAAGATGTTCGGTAATTTAATTTATTTGCCAGTCTCCGTAAATTTAAATGTATTTTATCAGTTATGAATATTTGTACAAGTTATCGGGGTTTCTAGGATGCGTTAAATATGATGAGCTAGAGAAACGTCTCGGTTACATTGTTGCGACACCTTATCGGTTAGCTTAGGGGTGTCTGGATAAACTGGTGGTCCTTCGAGCATAGAGGCCTAGAGAACATATATACATACTGAAACGTCTCGCGATAAAATTAAACTTTTATCTGATAGTATGTCGAAGATAATATGAACAACATGATTCGTACTTTGGTTTGAATGATTATACGTTTCTTACGCAAGGTGTTACAGAAATAGCTGGACAGACTTTGAGGCCTTATTCTACTCGTGTTAAGGATTATGATGGATTCAAAGATAAAATGAAAAACATTCACTCTTATGCTTGTATAAAATTCCTTCATCTTTAAGACGAGTACAATTTCTTCCTAAATTTTGTCCACCTATTCCTACCACACGCACTTTCTATTACTTGGAAAGCAATTGATAATTACTAAACAGGGATCAACTTACTTTGTTCAAAGGTGATCCGTAAAGAGGCGGAGCACTACACGCTTCACTATAAGACGGTGGTCTAGCCCTTGACTCAAAAATTGTGTAACATTGCAATGAACTGGTGTCCCTGTCTTCGTCATTGTGACCACTTTGGCGCCTACTTTGATCCGAGTATCTTGCTTGAGACGCCCTACAGGAACTTATTAACAATACTAGTATCACTTTACAATTTCTTTATTTCACTAGACAATAGCTAAGAGAATTTTGAGACATTTTCTATATTAATTGAATACGTTAAATCATGAAGAAAGTCTCCTACCTGGTACAAGCTTTGCAGTACATTATAAGGACGAAAAAGGTACCGAACACGAATAATAGACACAGAATAATTTGTGTAGTTGTTACTGTGTTTATATCTTTACGTTCCTGCAAAAGAAACAGTTTAGTTAGTCGATAGTGACTTGGAGCTTTTACGAGCGTATGTTTCGCACGAGAACAAAATAATCTTACCAATAAAAGGTACAGTCGAGTTGCAAACAGCAGAAAGAATATTGACATCCCATAGAAAAGACGCGTATAAATTTACGTAAAGCAACTCTTCTTGTCTTTAAAGTAATTTTTTGATATTCAACTTACCCTTGCGTTTCTCAGGGGGTTTACCTGTTGTTGTCCAGGGATACTGCCCTTGTTCATTATATTGAAAAACATTTGGAAATGGAAGTGATGAAGAGTTTAGTTCTACTAGTAATAACAGATATGAATTGTATAGCATTCAGTAATTTATTATGAACATTCTGCCAGGATACATACTTGTATAATTGATTAGTTGATTTAGTGTCACCATGTTAGACACAAGGAAGAAATGGTTTCAGAATGTAAAACTTCACAAGTGACATGGGAAATTATGTCAGTATTAATTTACACATTATTACATGAACATTATTGAAAGGCAGTTTATTAGTTTTCAAGGTAAACATATTATTGTTTCACATAATTCGCGCAGTACTTTAAATATTTTACCAATATCTGAGTGCAAGGTACGACATACGTTTCACGATTCAGAAACAGGTAAATATGTTGCTTTAAACTAAAACATTGAGCGTTTCTTGAACATATAAAGGCTGTAATCTTATCAAGAAACTTCCTGATAACACATGTAATCAGTGCTTCAATTATTTTTTCATTACATTTACTGTATCCTTTAACATTTCTCAGCAAAATACCATTTTCATCAAGATGATCTTGATCACGGGTAACGAGGGGTAAAATAACAGCAAAATGTACAGAATCGCTTAGAATATATTTTGTAATATATATACGAATAAATACTAATAACCCAAAGCCATAACAATTCTTAAGACCATACAATTTACAACAAGAATTGAGTTGAGATTTATGTAAACGGTTTCTTTAAAATTAGTGCTATACAGTCAATTTGTTAATCTAATTAATGCCTCCACAACATTCCCTTTGTGTTCCCTAAGTATTTGTTCGGCTTGATTCCGACCAATTTCCACCTCCTTCATCTGAAATTAAATTACACATCTTTATAGTATTTCAAAGAATATAAAATCTTTAATATCTAGAAAATAATCATAAATCTTATGAGGTAAGAACTAAGAGCAACATATGCAATATCTTACAATGAGATCAACATCTTCCTTTTTAATAGGAACTTTTAGCAATTCCTTTTCCCTCGCTTTCTTTTCTGCTGCCTCTTTATTTCGTCTGTCTCCAATTAAGCTTAAAGCCTAGATAAGAAGAAATTCACCACAGTGCGTATTTATACAAAGTAAGGCAATGCCTAGTAGCATAAAGTTTATGTATAAATATATATATGTGTGTGTACAAACGTGTACACACTTATAGGTTAGGTTTCATTGTTTGCTATTTTGTCGTACGTGCTGTGCAAATATTAATTTCTGCATACAGTAGAGTGCAAGTAACATACTCCAAACTTTCGAAACGTTAATCTGTGCTGTTGCAAAATGAAATATGCTACGTTGTTGACAATCGTATACACGTGGAGCAGCAGGTAGTCACGAGACACTCACGCATGAGAATCCATCAGAGGAAGATATTTCTTTCTCCTCCGCATAATCCGTGACTTTCTCCAAATCCGCTGCACCGCTGTCATATTTTGCTGCTTTTTTCTGTGACTTCTCTTGCACCTCATCGGAATCACAGTTTACATCGTTGTCCGCCATTTTTCTCCTATTTAGAACTCGCGCTTCACGCTTACAGAGTACAGAGTAGCCCATAGAGTAGCAGTACATTTCATCTCACACACATGGGGGTCTCTTCTCCATGCTCCGGGGGTTCTGTGACCCCACGATCTCACGCCACGGGGTCTATGGCACCTCCACCGGGGGTTCTATGACCCCATGTTCTTACCACACGGGGTCTCTGGCATCTCCACCGGGGGTTCTATGACCCCACTGCCTGGCACACACGGGGTAACTTCCGCGTGCTCCGGGGGCTCTATGACCCCATACACGCCCACACGGGGTCTCTTGCGAATGTGCCGGGGGTTCTATGACCCCACGTTCTTACCACACAGGGACTCTGGCATCTTCACCGGGGGTTCTATGACCCCACTGCCTGACACACACGGGGTAACTTCCGCGTGCTCCGGGGGCTCTATGACCCCGTACCTCGCACACACGGGGACTCTGCACATGTTCCAGGTGTTCTATGACCCCACAATCTCAACCCTTGGGGTCTCTGGCCCTGTTGGGGGCGCCCCTATATGTACCATAAATTCTCAAATTTTTCCGCGCTTTTTGTAAAATCCAAGATGGCGGAAATCCTGCAGTTCGTGGCGCCCTGGTAGGGGCCTAGAGACCCCCACCATCTTCTAGGTTTTTCCGCCATCTTGGATTCAGAAAAATGCCGGAAAAATTTGGGAATTTATGGGACATTTATGGGAAAATATGAGATAGACGTAGTGATAGGCTTAATAAACAACACATATGTATTACTTATCTGTTTTTTATTGCAAAAATGATAAGAAAATACACAATTTACAATAGTATTTGAATAAATTTCACAACGTCGGATATTGACACTAAATTGGTAACAGGGCTACGTAGCCCTATGAACGTGGGACAGAAAAAAGCATTGGATGATTGGTCTATTCTATACCTAGTCGGTGCGTGTACAACTGTCAAATTCGGTTTGACGACGAACACATGGAACAGAACGCTTTCACTCAAACATTTCCCCCACCACTGCTGTGTGCCGGCACGCTGTACGAATTGTACGATGTTATCCGCCTGTGAGCACCTGTGAGTCTGTGAGTTTGGCGTGGTTTGGCGGGCGCTGAGTTCTCCTTCAGTGCATTGTAGACTGTATTGAATAGTAAATTTCATAAGTTTCCGTATTCATCATTATACGTATACTTACATGACGTATGCCTTAAAGTTTCTGAGTTAACTTACGAACCTAACGAAGAAGTGTCTACTTATTCAAGATTGTTTAATGGCAGGAGAAGTTATCGTTGACGCGCTACCCTATATCGATCAAGGCTACGATGAACCGGGAGTTAGAGAAGCAGTAAGCATAATTTCGTTCTATTAACTTCTATAATACTGTAAACCTTTGAGATTACATTATTTATTTTTATATTTCGGAAAAATTAATCAATTTAAATGTATCTGTTTTGACGAATCAGGCTTTGGCGATGGTTGAAGAGGAAACACGTCGGTACAGGCCAACTAAGAATTACTTGGAACACTTGCCGCCCTTGAATATAATTGCTTTTGAAACAGATGTAATGAAACATGAATTTGAGAGAATGCAGAACCGTTTACCCATGGAAGTACTTAGCATGAAACGTTACGAATTACCTCCACCACCCCCAGGCAAGATGAATGATCTTGCTGCATGGAATGAAAGTGTAGAGAATAGTAGTGCTCAATTGGAACATCAAGCTACTAGGTAAATACTTTATATTGACAACAATTGAAATTACCTTTAACATTAATGACTACAATTTCTTTATATCACAGAATCTGTAATCTCGAATTAATGATGGAATATGGATGTGAAGCTTGGAAGTCTTATTTAGAAGTATTAGTCCAGTTAGTGAGTGAAGCACAAAAACAGTTGCAGGCATTGAGAAAACAGATTCAAGAGGTCAATTGGCAAAGAAAATCAATGCAGACTCAAGGAGGAGAAAAATTGAGAGCATTAGAAGCTCAGTGGGTCGGATTGGTTTCAAAAAATTATGAAATTGAACAGGCATGTGTTCATTTAGAAGAAGAAATACAGAAATCCATGATGAATAAGGGTGAGGCTGTTGAGATCAATGACGTTCCAGGAGAAAAAGAACCTGATGTACCAGGGAAAAGTGCTACAGAGGTTATGGCTACAGAAATGATTCAACAGGAACAAGAAAATGAAAGAATCTGAAGCATTGTGTTAAAACAATTGTGTAAATCTATAATTGTCTGTGTTTTATATAAATGTGTAAATATATTAACTACTTAAACTTTACTGATATTTGCTTTTCCCTTAAACTCTTGGAAGAGACTGTACAATGGTAATACGATTGCGCAGATTATAGATAGGAGTGTACCCAACATGGCAGCGATTGTTTCTCAATGACTTCAGCTCCTAAGGGAACGTTAAAGTTTATTGAAAAGTTTGTGGAATTAGTGAATGCGTGGCCGCAGAAACCGAAATCTGAACATTTCCGAATATTTGGAATTTGTTATATACTTGGTTTTATGTCAGAATTGGGAATAACTTACTACAACTGTGGGAGAACTAACATTTTCGAAGAGTATAAGAAACAACTGATAGAACAAAGAGTTGAAGCAAAATTGCAGAAAATAAAAATTTGAAACATTTAAGAAACTATTGTGAAAATATATTTAGATTTGTGACAGTGTTATAGCTGTTACAATGCCGTATGGTATATCGTGGTTTCGATACATATCATTCTGCACAACGGCAATGATATCGATGTTAGCAGGTGCACAGTCTGTACACATGATATTTTTACCTCTTGAAGATTTGGATGATCTTATAGAGAAGGAATTTAAGAAAAAACTAGCAGAAATGGAACGCAGTTAATGCAGTATTGAAACATGTAACGGTCATAATAAAGATTGTAAATATTGAAAAATTGTGATATTTACCATTAATGTTTCCCTCAATGGCAAACCATGCATTGTTATGTATAATAACTTTGATTCTTGACTATTGTAGGAGATTTAATAAAGCACATTTTATTTCATCATAGTTTACATGTATCACGCTTTTGTTTAATGCCTGAAATATACATATTTACAAGACGAATATCACGGTCTATAAATGACATATAGTATCAAGTAACAATTATTTATATTTCACAGTATACTTGGAGGACTTTCTTAAATAGTTTGTTTGCATTTTTGTATTTCGGCAGCAGATTTGCGTAAATCTAGCTTCAGAATTGAAATCCATTAGGATAGGCTACTACACGTGGTTTACGTCCTTTATGGGCTTACAAAGCGAATAATCAAGCGTTATTCTCAATCAGCTATTCGTGTAAAAAAATACGTGAATTTCATCTTCGTTTCGATCGTTCTATTAGTTCGAGAAGGATAGTAAAAAATACTCGTTCCTTGAACCGTTGTCGAACAATTTCCATTAATCACTGAATTGTCATAACGATGTCTCGCTAGCGCCCGAGCTCTGCGACTGAAGGGGTAAGCTGATCTTGTAGCCCGCTGATTCCTCCTCAAGCAATGCTATCCGTTGCTTCAGCGTATTCACCTATGTATAAAAAGAAACAGAACGATCGAATGGTCCCGAATAACTGGACTTCATCATCTATTCGTAATGTATATAGGTAGGTGAAATGCAACTGCGCAGAAGCATGACGAACTTGTAGCAGAAAACCAATATGGCGACAACCATTCTGTACAAGTCGGTTCGTGCAGCGACTTAAGTAGACAATGTCATCATCTACACTGATTTATAACACGCAACGTAAATTAAGGATATTATATAACAGATTGCCTGCAAAGGCTCTCGGTGAATTTCGTCTTCTACCACTATTCTTCATTGGAGGCGCTGCCTTGGAGTTAACTATGATACACTGGCACGTTGGAGAGGTTAATTTTTATAGAGCATACAAGAAGAAACGTGTGGAGGAGGAGATCGAAAGAAGATTACGTGCAATGAAGTTGCAGAATGATTAATCCACACATGTGAAGTCTCTACCTAAGTAGTTCTTTAATAAGAGAACAATTACTTTGTATACAAGTGCTACTTCGTCGAGGATTTGCACACTTTTGAAATTGAAGCGAGGAGACGAAGGAGAATCATGTATATTGTAAAACAAAATACATAAAATCATAATAAATGAAGTTGCACCCATGTCATTTGTCAGTTTACTAAGTTAAAATTCATACCTGTGCAGCATGCCTTTCGACCATGCCCAACATTTGCTGTTCCAATTTCTTTAACCTAGACTGGTATTTTTTTTTAGATTTCTCTAAAGTTTGCACCAGAGCTCTGAAAACATAGATAATCCATGAGAGAATACATTTTTGATCCAAAGTATACCTCTGCTTGTTAGTCCTTAATCCAATTACCCATTCGCTCTTTTCAAATCGTTCACCAGTTCAGCGGACTGCTGATGTCTAAGCTCCGAATTCTTGTTAACTTTATCCAACGTCGAAACCAACTCCTGCAAACGTTCTTTTAGTCTAGCTTCACGACCCAGTGCCTCGATCAATTCGGACTCGATGCCCTCGCTTTCGTTGTCGCTTAAACCACGATCCTACGGGACACAATTGAATACAAAAAAGTTCAAAGAACTCCCGATGGTTTCCTTTCTTAAACGCAATCTCACTTTATTTGTAGCCATTGCCAGCATGGCCTCCGTATCGCTAAGCTGACCCTGAAGATGTTCAATGGCGGCGTGTTGAGCCGTGATTTGCGTGTCACGCGCGTTTAACTTTAATTCTATGGTGGCTCGTTCCTTTTCCAAGAGGAACACCCGCGCCCGTAGCTCCGCTTTGTCCTCTCGCATAGCCATTAGTTCCTGCACGGATCATTACTATCTATATTAGCACTATATTTATACCAAATCATCTATATTACTACTATATTTATCCCTGGAATCGAAAGCATCCATTGACATACAGAGACCAGGGGACGAACCTGCATGAGCACGGCGGTCTCCAGGTCCAGTTTCCTGGCCTCCGCGAGGGAAATGGTGTTCTTTGAGTTCAAAGGTTCCGCATGGACGCTCTCCAATTCCACCGCAGTCGACCTGACCATCGCTCGGTCCCCTTTCAGTCGACTGATGTGCCGTCTGAGTCTTTGCTCGTCGTCGACAGACCACGTCACCTCGGATCTAGGAACACGGCTCGATTACGTACACCGAGAGTACAATTATAAAGGGACATAAACGCACTTACTCATCGGACAAGACTATACTATCCTCCCAGGGTGCGTTCAGTGTGTTCACGCACTCATTCTCTAGCTTATTTAGAACGTGATAGGCTACGTGCTCAGCTGCCCTTCTATTATCGATCGTGATGCTATTTCTCTCCGTGGATAAGGCGATCTCACTTTCCAGCAATGCCACAAGAACATCATACGCTTCTATCGCACGATCACTGTAAGACAGAGCTAGACGCAAGGCGGTAGCATTCGACTCGTATTTCCCTACCAGGAGACTCAATCTGGGGAAGAAGAAAATACTGGTACCGATCGTACAACTGCAACACGTCATTTGGGCGTTAAATTACGACTATACCTGTCGCATTGTGCTTTACTCTCGTGCAGGGTAAGCGCGAGAACCGCGTTATTCGCTCGAGCATGTTCCAGCCTACTGTTTAGCCTCTCAGTTTCAACCTCGAACTGTTTCTCGGATCCGTTCAGTTCTTGGAGGTTAGAGTGCTCAAGGAGATCGGACACCAGATGCTCAGCCACCATCGTGGAGCATACCTAATGGGTCACATTTCGACTTTAATTATAATATTGACAATTGTATAACCTTTTTTTATTGATTCGAACAATTGACAAGGGGATGACTCGAGATAATCGTCTGGGTTTTTGTTGCGTTTTTGCAGATCCGATTAGAGGTGGCATCTACGCTTCTGGATTTGCATAACAGTCAATCAGTGCTACTATTCTGTAAATGGCCATCAAAATCCCAGATGACAATCTCGAGCCGATCTGGTCACCGATGACGTACACGAAGATGAACTTTACAGGATCTACAAGAACAGACAAAGTTAAACGACGGACCATTGCAGTTTGTTGCAACGAACGCATAGAGTGCAGACGTTACGAGAATTCCAGCCACGTATAACCGTAAAGGTAAAAGGCGAGCACTGGCAGACACACAACGGTAACGATAACGTACCCCCAAGTTGGTAATATCGGGTCCTGTGATGTGCCTCTCGTCCGTCCTCCTGAGTCTCACCCTCTCGGCCATTTTAAGAACCGGCGCCTCCTCCCTCGTTAAGCTCTTTGTCGGCGGTGTCTGCAGGGGCGGCAAGAGTGGCGAGCAAGGTGCACTCAAAGGTTCCGGCGAGCTGGTGTTGCCTCTCGTTGTCTGCCGGGAATCAAAGGAGCACACGGGGAAACATTACGTCGGTGGAAGGGTTGATAAACATTTTTCGTGAAAGTGTCGGTTGATCAAAGGGTGGCCGATGTGCCTGGGGTGAAGCGATGGCGAAAAAAGAAAATTTCTTCAACGTCACGGAGTGGGGAGGTTCTCTGGAGAACTTGTACAGACTCGGAACAATGAATTTCGCCTCCAGGGGCGGAAGCTTGTTCCAGGTTTCAAGTAGCAAACGGAATTACTGATCACTAGACTGCGGAAGTTTATGAAAATTCACGATTTCAAAACAGGAAAATGGGACCGAGTTTTGAACTCTCTTTCCATAAGACATAAGTAGTATAAAACTTTGTTTTAACCTTGAGTTTATTGCATTTATTTATAAGAGACGCTATAAATGCATAAATATCCGCATTCTAACTGATCATATCGTTCACCACCATGGGTACTTTATGATAACCATCGATCGTCATCGTACCCTTAGTTCCCTGCGCGGCGACTCACTACCAGCCTGTTGCCTCTGATTCCTAGAATGGGCCAGTTGCGCCTGCAAGTTCGAGATCTCCGCCCGGAGCGCCGTGACTTCGTCCTGCAACGCCGCCACCGCCACGCTTTGGCAGGAGGCCGCTTGTTGCGTCGGTTCAGGGGTTGGTAACGCCGCTGGACTGTCCAACTGTTCCCTTCCATTCTATCGATTAAAGCAAAGAATCGATTCGATAAACTGTAGGAAGTACACAAAACTCGGAATCGCTTTGGAACAGTCTATCGTAGACCTGATAAACTTCCGGACTTTGTACATAAAATTCTGGATTGTTGTCTTACTGATACGCAGGCTTTTGATCTTATTAAATGATTCCAACGGGGAATCGACCCCAGTAGTGGGGATGAAATAGAAGTATTTAACGTAAAGATCTTTTGCGAACACTCATCGATGATTTACTGTAGTAGGAACAGTTTAACCCTTCGATTACAGAGCCAGAAACGACAGCCAATTTACGAAACTTGTATAAACGGTAAAGGAAACTATTCTCTAAGTACCATCACCTTCGAACAGATTACAGGACGGCAAACTTCCGTAAAAAAATCGAGATTGCAACGTTCGTATCGAAAGCTTTGGGATCGTTTGAGGAACACTTCCGATATTCCCATAGTTTCCGTGCAATTAAATTACTTCGGTCCAAGTCGATCGCAGTTTAATACCATCGCGAACGTGGGCCAGACGGCGAGGTACGATTAGAGAAGTTCCCGTAATCAGGCTGTCGGTCGTGAAACGTAGAAGCAAGTGATCCCATAGACGAGTTTCACTTAACGTATAAAGAATGGGAAGCCTATTCTTTTAGGCCCCAGGGGGTTCTTTCATTTTTGATAGTACAACAATACGATTACAAAAATGATTTAAGTAAATTAAATATTCTACTAAAACTCTTTCATATTACTGTAATGCAAATCGATGTAACACCAAATAAGTGATACGTTCAATTAAAAAAATGTTTAACTTATACCACTTTCATAGTCACTAACTCGATAATATAAAAAATCCTAAGTCAGGGGATTGATGATACCTCGACGGCGCGAGGCTCGATGTCTTCGCAACAGCTGGAATCGGCATCCCCTAAGGTACGGTCCCCGTCTCCCTGAATGTCCCCTCCGGCTTCGCTCTCCTCGACCGGGTTCGTGATCGAGCCCTCCGCGTCTCTGCTCGTTTCGATTTCTGGAGCAATCATAAAAACGCTATGAAGGAGACGACCATGGAAAGAAGGTCCTAATGGTCTCACCAGAAGGGCGTCAACGAATGTAGTTGAAAAATCGATCGATACGCATTTTAATGCTATAATATACTCGGACTCGGACGAATACGAATAACTGATATGGGAAGATAAAAAGATTGTGCTATTCTTCTCTTTAAAGGGGGACAACAGGGCAACGGTCCGAAAAGTAAAGGTATTTTTGGGAATTTGTTAAAAGAAATTGTTAAAGAGGTTCTTCTCCGAAGAATTGTCGAAGTACGATCAGGAAGATTGTAGAGGAGCGGAAGGACGGGTCAGTGGAGGGGAACAGTGTTAGAACATCGAATCACTTCGGTCCCATAAATCTCTATCAAAAGGGAGCCTCGGATCGTGAGGGAGCTGGACGACTACTTCGCTATAGGGCACGTGCAACAGATTTACGGAATCGGTTCCTCTTTCCCCTTTACCAGACTCATCCTCCTCAGCGATCACAGTAGCCCGATGCCTCTCGAGCTGCCTGCCTAACTCGGCGATCACGGAATGCAATTCGGTCAGCCTCTCCTCGTGCCTTGATGCTTGCTGATCCGCCTTCTGTTCGACTCTCGCCGCTTGCAACTCGGCCCTGACTACAGCAGCCTCGGCTGCCTCCCTGGCTCGTGTGGCTGCCACCAGCCTCGAGTTCAACTCGGCCACCTCGGATCGTAAAGATGACAAGGCGGCTGCGTGTAGCTGGAACAAAGGATAGACCTAATAATACTGATCGGTTGACCGGTGGCGAAGACTATAGTAGATTCTGTAACTATACCCTAAATGGGTCTGAACTCTAGAGCCTAGTTTTAGATTCTGCAACCGTATCCTAGAGGGGTCTAAATTCTAGACTCTAGAGCCTAGAATAGGGTTAAATTAATTACTTTTAGTCACTTTGATGGTTTGAATAGCTTCTTAATGACATTTTTACATTGAAACGAGTAGGGTAAGTGTGGGTATTACTGCGGATATTTATACAAAGAATAATATTTAATGTTGGGAAGTGTATAAGCTTTTGAAGATTAATGATAAAATTATTTTAAACTTTATTACAAATAATTATTAGTAAATATGTAGAGTAAAGTTGTTATTAATTCTTTTATCGTAGTTTGAAATTCGTCAAGGCGAAGCTTTGATCGATTTCCCAATATGACGGTTCTGAACGCCTACTTAAAAAACGTTTACATTTTTGTTATCAACCGTAATACACGTAATGTAGCGTTATTACTCCATAGAGTAAGAGTTACTTTTTCACAAAAACAGTACATCCTTCATTTACAGTTTAATTTTAATTTTAATTTTTCACCGCAGTTTATTTTTAATTTTAATTGTACACCACGTGTGTTTATTACTGCGGACAGGTGACTACGTAACCTAACCTATGTTTGACCGCATTTACTCATTTACAAAATAAAGCTACAGAATTAATGTTATTGAAGAAAAATAAGAATAAACAAAATTTTGAGTTTCTATTGAAAAGTTTATTTTTTTATTATTAATGTTCATATTGTAATATAAGGCTTAATATAATACTATAAATATCTAATAAATTAATACCTTCTGTCTTGTATATTATATCACATCCTTCTTGCAAATAAAATTAAATAATTTTTTTATTTACAGGACACAGGTATTTATACTAATATTTTGCTTAACACTGCAAATAGGTATTGCGTTAGTAACTGGCACACAGTAATACATGCATGTCCGCAGTACTTTTTGCAATGAGATGTGGTTTTAATTTAATAAAATTCTAATTAATTCTAATTAAATCTCATTTTTTTATGGAATTAATGTCATCCAACTTTCTTTAAAAGCAAGAAGCAGGGACTTTCATTCATTTGAACGCTTTATCGAGAACTCTAAAGTTAACCTATCGCAAAAGTCCGCAGTAATACCCACACTTACCCTGCATGTTCAGCCATGAAAAATATTTTCTCCATGGGGTATTTGTATGGCGAAAGGTTTTGGGGTTAAATGATCAAAGTAGTCGTAATTTCGACACAACTAGCCCAGGCTTTTCTTTACAGTTGCGTGCGCGGTTTGTGGAACGAGCGTGAAATGCAAATGAGAAACATCGATCGACACCATGTGTGCAGGTAATTCGAGCATTCTGCGGCGTCGCAGGTGTGAATCAGCTCCGCCTTTTACGTCTCTGATTCGGTGGATGACGCAACTTGTCCCGGTATCAAGGATCCGCGAGATGGACAGATAAGGATTGGTGTCCTGATTGCCGGCTGGCTGTGATCACCCGGCGAATTCGGTGTCTGCAATTGAATATTTCAGTATGCTCAGCCTTGAATCGACGCCCCAGGTTATCCCAGGATCCGAGTACGCTATCAAACATTCACGACGCTACGGTACTGGTCCAGGTACGAATGATGCAAAGTATAATTTCTGCGTCGAAATGGTGAATAATTCAGTTATTACGTAAATACCTCCGAGGCATTTACTATAAAACTAATAGCTTGAGAATAAACTCGACGATACCCAAATTGCGGAACCGTTCAAAATAAGACTTAAAACTTAAGTAATCGTAGAAACATGAATACCAATCTTGAGTTTCTCCAAAGCAATCGATGAGAGAAAGTATAATAGATAATTAAAAAATTTTCTAGACACGACTTCCGATCGGTCTCTACAGTACGCTTACAGAATTTTAATAAGAGATCTGTTAATTTTAAGTTCCGGAAAGCTCGTCCTTGCTCACGTCCGTCGATTAGTCTCAAAGTCACTGTCGTCAAGACATTGTCGTAACGCACTTACAATTATCCAAGAGAAATTATACATCTACGAACATCCCAACGGATGTCTTTGGATCCTGAACGATTTCGGTGCCATGGTGGTCTCGAAAAACGTTCAGACGTCATTCTACCAAGGTGTTCTCTAATTGTCGACGAGAAATGGTCGTTCTCCACGAACAGTAATCTTCATTCATGGAAGCGTCAGGTCCCAGACGATCGTGTCCTTTCTCCTGATTACTGGGAGGGCCGGTTGCTTCTCATTAATTCCGTTGCATTCGGGGCATTTCAAGCGCGAACGCGACGAAAAAAAGAAAAATGATTCCTGTGGGCGTTACAGGAATATATATACAGGCGTTTACCGCGGAATCGTGTTTGGCGGAGTGTCCTTCGCGCGACGGCAGCCATGCGTAACCGGCGTTACGACGCGACGAGCCGCTAATGATTCCTGGCCACGTGATGGGAGTCGCGTATAAGAATCACCGGCCGTAATTACGCGATATCAGTCGAGAGCCGGTCGTGTACACCTGAGCGTCGAAACGATCACTGGAGGTCCTCGTGGAAAGTGCGCGCTGCGACGACAGGTAAATTAGTTTGTCGTTCAATGCACAGAAACGAGACCGTTTCCGCAATATACAGGGTGTTCCGTTTAACTGGAAACGGTGGAATATCTCACGAAGGATTAACGTTATGAAAAAAATGTTAATACAAAAGTTGTTTGGTACAAAGGTGGACATTACGTGGTATAAATAATTTTTCTGTAATCGTAGTAGTGGGGGAGATATCAAAGTCATGTTAATCTTTTTAAATGGAACCCTGTATTTTTTTATTTATATTATGACAGTGTTTGTTGAGACGAATACAATGAACTGCCACATGATATCATTCCCTGTAGTAGGAAGTGATAAATTAGTAAGATTTTAAGATGATTTACGAAACAGGATTATAGTCGCATGCGAAAGAATAACGGACAAGATGTTGAAAAGTGTCGAAAGAGAATTTTTAAACAGAATAGAAACGTGTATTTGTAACGATGGTGGGCATGTTGACGGATAAATGACGTAAAAAATTATTAATCTTTTAACACGAAACGTTGACTGCCTCTATGTGGAACATCTATTAACGCGATAATCCTTTGTGTTACAGGCTTAATTACAAATTGATCGTCTTCAGTGATCTCAGAAAGGGGTAAGAATGAAGCTCCTGTTCGCCCTGACGCTTCTCCTGACCGTAATCTGCGCGTCAATGACCATGGCTGCGTCCGACGAGTACATCCACCTGCCAGGGAAGAGCTGCGCCGATGCGCCACCCTGCCCGGACAATAGACCGTGCGTGATGGCTCCTCCACGTTGCAACGTGGGCACTTGCGGCAAGAATCCGGTGCCCACGTGCGGCAAGAGGACATGAGTATCGTCGGAGGAGTATCGCTCGAGGTACAAGTGGACGTCCCAGAGGCCGTTTATCATCCTCCTTGTTCATCGACTAACACGAGCACTAACGTTTGACGGGCAATAGCGATGTAGTAGTTGTGTAACCTTTGGTCCAATAAAGCTACCTTGGTTTTCTGTAAGTTTCTGGTGATATGGGGAGATTGTCGAATTTGAACCATCGCCTGGATTAGAGAAGATACTATATTTATATTATTTAACACGACAGTTTATGTCATTAGACAAAATATTATATTTATATTATTTCAAATAAGTTACAGTAATGGTTCAACCTAGGCGATGACCCAAATTCGGCAATCTTCTATTTGAACAATTTTCCGAACCGTTTAACGAAGCTCCATGCTAGGCTGGAGTTTGAACACGTGACTGGAGTGTACTGTCACTTCGATCAACGATTCATCGAATCGGAATAAACCCATCTGTCCCCTGTCAGTGTGTAGTACCACGGTCTGGAAATGAAGTCCGTTGCACAACGCGCGAATTCTTCGCAATGACTCACGTCACGATCATCTATAGGACAGGTTGAACGAGCCTCGAGATTTTCCTTTCTGCGTTCTCTTCGACACACACGCGGCTCGAGGAGAGTCGGCCGATGAGTTCGACCGAATTTCTCCTACGTCGTCGACCGGCACTCCAGACAGTAAAGCGATACCGGAAATTGCGGTGAAGTGGTGCAAAGCCAAGGGTGACACCGTGGGAGAGGCGGACCATCGACTTTCACGAATACACCTGACGTTCCCGGCTTCGTTTCTTCTCCTTTGATACACGGAATTACTTGGCAAGTCGGCTCGACGACGCCGAAAGTGTAGTCGATTTAGACACAGTCGCGAACGAATTATTAAGTTGCGAGATAAACCTTCCTTCTTCGTTAGAATTTTCGATTCCGTTCCGGCCGATCCATTATTAATTTCTCATCTAGCATTTCACTAACTCAAAGTCCCTTATCTTCCAAGCTCCGCCCAAAGAAACCTCTGTTCCAACTATGATATTCCAGGGGCCTGATTAAAGTTCCAGCAAGAGTAAGGCGAGCGTTGTCTGGGCTCGATTCAATTATATCCCAGAAATGGCTCCATATAGGCTATCCCGAGCACGACACCCGGGAGAGAATCGCCTGCAAAGTGGATGACCCACGGAGCAGAAGAGATCCGTCTGTGTTTAATTGACGACGTCCTGAACCGATTGTGGTCCCACCTACGTATATAGGGTCCCACTCGCCGCGCCTTTTTCCTCCGTTAGCGTTTTCCTGGAATCTTTTAAGTTTCTACTCTTAATGCTTTCTTTTCTTCCGTAGTGTGTGTACCTTTGAATTTAACCGTCTGTTTGCGTTTGAACCAACGAATCTTTACGAGAGAAATGCGTGGAGGCAGTGTTTAGCCGAATTCTCGTCGAGGTACCATTTTTCCTTTGACGAATGAATGTCCTTTGAGACCAAAAATCAGGTGATAGTTGGGCGATTCTGATCGATCTTTAACCCTTTGCACTCGGAATTTCTTAATTCCCAGGTTAATCGAGG